TTCAATTCGATTCAATTTGAAAAAATCAAATCAAATTCAAATTGCTTAAATATTTGATTCGATTCGATTTTGAGGAACCCTAATTGTAACGTAATAGATGAAATTTTGGTTTGGTATTATTTCAGTTTAAATGAGAAAGAAAGGAATATTGAAATTTTGAAGAATAAATCATTTATTAAAGGAGTTATTCCTGCTAGATTCATTAAAAGGTTGGCTGAATCTGTCAATGAATTTAAGGAGAAATTAATTTTATCAAGTTTCTTTAGAGGAAGGGTTTCTTCCAAAGAAACCTTTTTGGAAAGATTTGTTGCTGATCCCAGGATGGACGTGAAAATGAATGGGAAGAAATTTTCTTAATTGATGATAACATTACAACAGTTCATCATTCCCAAAAATAAAAACCTTCTCCTCTTGATCTCACAAAACCTCCTATCCCATTGGGTTCAGCTTATTTTTGTATTAATTCAAACATCCCCTTTTCTCCAACTTTTCAATGTCGTATCCCAAAAATTGGTAATAAAATAAAATTCACTTTCTCATCTTTTCCTTCGTCTATCAATAAAAAGAATACATTGGGAAGAGATGATATATTTGAAGATATACTTTTAATCGCTGGATTATCTGTTCCTTCAAATATGCCAAATTCATCAGTTCACTCTGTTGCATCTTCAAATATGCCAAATCCATCATTTCATCATATCTTACTTCCAAATACTTCAAACTTACCTTTTAATAATATCGCTCCTCTGAATTTACCAGCGACCCTATCATTTTTTATTCCATTAGTTCCTCCAAACACACCAAATACTCCAATCTCACCAATTACCACATTATCTTATTCAGCTGTTAAAATTAATAGTCTATTATCTCCTACATTAATTCTCATTTCACCTACTTTAACACTAATTACGGTTTCTCCAAATACTCCAACTTCTCCATTTATATTTCAATCATATAAAAAAATAATAATAATGTTAATAATGATAACAAAAACAATTTACGTAAAAGTAATGTTACTATTAATTCAGTATTAGCCAATTTGATAAATAATTTATATAATTATATTGAAGATGTTGGTAAAATGGAATCACCAAAAATAATTATTCATTTTTAAAAAAATAGATATTATTATTGCATGTATGTTTTTTGTTCAAATAGATTGTATAGCTTATTTTTCTTACTTAAATCTGAATATTTGTGCAGATGATTGTTTATTTTGTAATAAAATGAGTACATTTTTCTTTTTTATTCAATTTATGAGATGTAATTTCGTTAATTTCAGGAAATTTTTTTATTGAAAGAAAAAAATTTTGAATGCTTTTTTACGCGTACAAACCTATTATCAATTATATTACATATAACAATGATATGATATAATTTGAATAATTGGCCTGAAAATTATATAAAGTATTTTCTAAATACAATAAATCTCAATTGACTGATGCATGCATAATATACGACGCTCTATTTTGGCCAAACTCTTTGAATCCTAATTAAGTATCTGGGTTTTACTCTAATTATTAAAACTGGAGTACTTCACATCACATAATAATAATCCATCATAAACAGTTAATTAAATTAATCATCACATGTTTCAACCAAAAAAATGGTATATAATTAAGAGTATGGGAATTGATGAAATTTGATGTGACTTTCCATTTTTTTTTCAGAGAAGAATCTAATAGAAATATTATATATCAGTGTCTTTCGCGACATACATATTTTGCTGTGCATGTTTTTGGTTTATTTTATAACAATCAGTTTTATCTACTAACATAAGACATTTCCATATTTATGCTGATAGCATTATTTTATGAACCAAAAATTTATCATTTGATACAAATCACTTAAGTCCTAATATAGACTATTCTAGGAAATCATCATTTGAATATTCTTTCATTTTAAAATACAACCAGCAAGTTAGTTCTTTTTTTCTAGTATCCACCACATATTTAATGCATATCAGAAATGCATTGTATCATACAAACGTAATTTGTCATACAGAGATGATGAGTAGATTATTTTTTTATAATTTTTTTAATAAAAAAAGCATAAATGATTGATTTGAAGATTCTTAGTATATGTTTTTTTTTTTGATATGGTATATTTTTTTATAATTAAATTAAAGATTATGATAAGCAAATTATGATTTTAGTTAAACAATCTATCTAAGAAAAAGATCTTAATATTCAAAAAGATATCAGTTAGATAATGTAATGCTTTATCATTTTTATTTAAAAAATGAGCATTTTATGATTAAAAATTATAAGAATTTAATCGTGAAATGTTATGTAATCTTTGATATTCTAGAATCATATCCTAATTTGTCATGAATGCTGACCTATCAAGATGAGAAATCTCAACATTATCCCAGGTAGAACATCTGCTAAAGGCGACATAGGTTTGATCTATAGAGAAGATATTTTGATTTAAAGCAAGAGAAATATTTGGTAAAATTAAACCTTGTTTTTTGTGAATAGTCAAAGCAAAGCAGTTCTGTAGTGGATATTGAGTTCTATGACAGTTATTTCCAAATAGTTGAAAGTGATGTGTTTGTTTGTAAATGGTTGTATCTATTATCGAATCTCTTACAGAAAATGCGACTCGAACAGAATGATCGATAAGGTTTAAAATCATAATAATCCTAACTGTTTTATTACAAATTCCTTACTCAAATAAAGTGTTATTAAGACACATGACATAAGCATCTGGTTGTAATCTTACAGAAGAAGGTAGATTGGTTTTATTTTTAAAAGAGCTTTCAGAAAAACAAGAATCCCACGATGTGGAATTTACTGAATCTACAGCTTGTAATTTAAAGAATTTTCCTTCAGGAATAGGTAATATATTACAAATCATTTGATTAATTTGCTGAGCATTTTCTTTAAAACTGACAATATTAGTAGTATTAAGAAGTGTATCGATTTCTGAACATGATAAAAATTCAATGTTTTTGACTAAGCATCTGCCATGTTTCAGAAGATATATTACCCATCTGAACTTCTTGTAATATTTGATAGAATTTGTCGTAAGATTGTTGACGTTGTGAAGTCGTTGAGAATAAGAGATAGAATAAAGTCTAGGTCATTGAATAAAATACAGATTGACCTGTAATAGGCAGTAATTGAGCAAGATCATCTACTACAATCACATTTATTCTACCAAATAGAATAGCATTATTATTGAGATTAGCAAAAAGATTAGATATAAAATCAAAGAGCTGTGCTGAAACCATTGAAATTTCTTCGATGATGATAGTATTAATTACTTTTAATAATTCATTTAATTCTTTATTAATATATGCACATGTACAAAAGTTATCATAATTTGAAATAATCTGCAATGCAGAATGGATGGTTCTTCCTTCCACATTTTAGGCAGCAACACCAGTAGGAGTCAGGAGAAGATATTTAGATTTTTTTGTTTAAGAGTATTTATCAGCAGGTTTATGATAGATGATTTACCTGTTCCTGCAAAACCTGTAATAAAATAATATGGCAATTTGATACCATCATTTGGGCCAAGATATGAAGTGATTATTGATAAGACATAATACTGATCTTCTGGTAGATTAAGTATAGCAGTTTCAGGTAATACAGAAGGAAGCATCTTGATATTTTTCAATTGTAATCTTATAATATCCTGAATTGTTATTAGGAGTTCTTGGTGTAATGATTGTAACAATCTGTTTAGCATTTCAGCAAATTGATTATTAAGGTAAATGATATGTGAATGATGGTTATTTGTGGTTTGGATTTGTAAGGTTATCAAAAAATCAGGAAATAATGACAAAAATTTTTGTCAGTATGTTCCATTAGGTTCTATTCTATAATTAGATTCATCTCTTGTAAGTACGGTAAGAAGAAGTTTCTGATAGAAGTATAATTCAGCATCTTGAAGTTTAAGAAAATGATATCTTACTATTATTTCTTTAGATTTTTTTACAATATAATTATTTAATTAATCATGAAAGATCAATCGATTAGTTAAAGGTCTTGAAGGAGAGATCAAGTATCTTTCAAAATATTGAGGATAGGTAAGTAGATCAAATTCAGGAGAGATAGATCGTGCCATAAACTTGATTATGGTATCATCATAATAAGGGTTTTCATCTTCTTCATGTATTAAATAAACAGGAAGCATCAGACAAGATCTTGTATTAGAAGGTTCAGTGGTGAAGAATTTCACAGTACTTGATGAATTACAGATTTAATGATCTAAAAGCAAAAACATCAATTCTATAGAGCTAAGCCTACATGTTCTCTTAATGTGTCTCCATCTTGTATGTTAATACATGAGAGGGTTCTCTTTTAACAATATATTTTACCATATATTGAGTGAACCCTCTATTAGTTATATACTAGATATTCATGTGAGCATTCCATAATAAGAGAATAGCAGGATGATAAGGGACCACTCATGAATCTGCATCAGTCAAATATTTGTAAATATAACGGGAGGCTTCTTCTTGATAATGAGTTGTTTGACTGTAAGGATGTAGAAAACCTTTTTTACACATCTGATCTTGTGGGGCAGGACCTTAACATTTATGATTGCAAGGATGTATTTAATTAGCTATCACAGAAGCATATAATTCAGATTCATATAGAGGATCAGGTATTGTTGAGCGGATGACATCATTTGCAATCATATGGGAGGTGGTCAGTAGAAAAGGGGGAAATCTGAAAATTTTAGTAATTTTAGTTACTAAGCTAATTTTGTTCACATGACTATGATCAGTGAAGTGAACTAATTAAAAAAATTTTGACCAAAATTTGGATTTCCCCCTTTTCTACTGACCGCCTCCCATATCTGAAATAGGATTATTAGTCTAATAACAGACATGAGCAAGGTTGGGAATTTTGTATGTACTAGATAAAATTACCATTATACTTGTACTGTACTTGTACTAATTTTTATATTAATTATTATAATTATTATAATGTACTAACTGTACTAACTATACTAATCATTGTACTAATACTATACTTCTCAACCCTGAACATGGGTATGTGCTGCATCCCTATTTTGAAATTCAACTCAATCAAAAAAGTCTGTGATCTTGCTAAATCCTGTAAGTTCAGGTTTTTTATACAATTCCTTTTTTAGAGACTGAAATTTGTAAATGAAATAATTTGCATAATGATAAGGTCTATTTGTTAGTAACAGATTATTATTATCTGTATTAATGAGTATATTATAAAGATAATCCAAAGTTCTTCAGCCATGGTCAAGTTTATGAATAATGATGGTAGACCAGATTTTTCAGTATTGCATTAAGGCGAAGTTATTTGTGATGAAAATAAGTATCTCCTGTTCATATAAAGGTAGGCAAGGAAATCATTTTAGTTTCATATAATCTCAGATATCTATTATATTCACTAGATTGGAGTAATTGCTTTGCAGTAGAAAGATTGTTGATGTTAGGATTGATATTATTTTGTCTTAAGAGTCATTGAGTATTTTGATGATGTCTCAATTTCTTAAATTGCAGGTATGATCAAGAAGGACAGTGATGATGAAGTCTCTATCGTGGTTCATAATTTATTAATCATTGTCTGATATATTTACCATAAGTTTCTTATGTCATCATCTGTAATATCTGATTGATTTAGCATATCATAAAAGTGACCTTTTCCATCTGTAAATAGATCAAGAAAAATTAATGGTTCTAGATTATGATTATATGTAGCAATAGGAATACGTAATATGTCACTTTCACAGATGAATCCTGATATTAATCTAGAATAATGAAAGTTTTCATTGTGAACTTCATCTGGAAGGTTCAAATTAGGAACTATGATATCTCAAGTATTTACAGGTGGAATATCAAAATCAGTAAAAAGATGTATTGCTCTTAGAAATGGTTGATTTCTTACTGTATTTTGTTTATTGCGTAATGTTAATATGCTAGCATAAGGTTGAAGCATAAGGTTGAAGGTATGGATTATTATTTGCTAATCAAGCTGTAGCGTGTTTTAAAATTTGATCATGAATTAGATCATCATCTAGATGTCTTGAGGCAGTTGATTGATTAATATTGTCTGGTTGATCCATAAATACATCTAAGATTTCAGAATATAATGCATGTACTTTAATGTTACAAGAGTAATTCATTGATCCAGTCAAGTATCTATATTCTGAGAAGGGATTGCTATTTGGAGTCCTTCCTAACAAACAGTATAAATAAACCGGTGAGAGATATTTCCTCTTATGCAAGGGAACTGAAAGGATTTCTTGTGGTATAGGGACAGATAAGGGAACGTGAATCTTGTAGAAGGCTTCTTGCATGATTTGCAGGTAGGTATTCTTAATTCAGGAATACAATTGGTATTTGGATTGAATAATAAGTAATGTTTAGAATGAGTTGTTGAAATTGATAGGTGATGAAGCCTTTTCTGGATATAGAAACCTTTCGCAATAAACGCAAGCGATTTGAGGATATTGTTTCAAGATGGTATTTTAAAATCTGTTATAGAGTCTTTGCAGCATGATTGATGATCTCTAATGTGTGATGATCGCATTTGAAGGCTGAGGGTGATTGGTGTTAGGGTTCCTCAAAATCGAATCGAATCAAATATTTAAGCAATTTGAATTTGATTTGATTTTTTCAAATCAAATCAA